ATCGATTTGAGCTTTCTTTCCTCAGGCTCTTTCCTGGCCTTTTAATTGGTATATCTGCTCCTCCACCTCCGAGTTGACTAGTGCCTCGTTTCTCCCCCATGCGCACCCGTGCACATGTAGATGTGTCTGTGTACGTGTGTATTCGCTGGCAACGAAGAGAGAAATGAGATTAAGAGGGAGCGGATGATGCCTAGTAGAGCTCGTCCCAAGGCTTGTGTTTTTCAGCTTACATCGGCCCTCGCGCGCAGGTATATCTCCAGGGTGGCGATTTTCTTTTTCCACGCTCTCTTCTCTCTCCTTTTATCTTCGCTTTTTTACCGGGCACACACATGCGTTCCTCGCCGTATATTAGCCGTCCAGCTCCTGTATTTGGAGAAAGACCCCCTTATTATGCGTATAACCCCTTGTCGCGCCAGCCACGCGTTTTCTCTCTCTCTCTCTCTCTATCTTTCTCTGACCATGGGATAAATCTCTCCGAGTCGAGCGAGCTCGTATCTATATATTAAAATATGAAGGCGAACCCCGTGCTTTCATGTATATATACGTATACATGCGGGGGAATGTGTGCGAGCTTTGCGAGACGGATTTTCGCGACTCAGCGCCCATAAACGTCGGCGAGTTTTGACGGGTGCTATAGCGCACACAGCAGCGTGGCAGCAACCTCGGAGTTGCCTCCTTCTCCTCCACCTCCTGCATTAACCCGGGGAGAGAGAGAGAGAGAGAGAGAATACGCGAGAGGAAATTCCCTAAATGAAGATTGACGGGTGTCATCTTGCAAGTACGTGATCGATTTCCAAATTCGTAAACACAAATCAAATGTAGCAAGTTGCGAATCGGAACTACTATATATACATGAGAAATTTGCGCAGCTATCGCACGAATATATCGGAGTCGTGTCAGTAGCAGAAGCTCGGGCTACGTACACACACGCACACACAACAGCACTACGACCTATACGTATTATTATTATATATATAGATAAACTCGATCGTGACGTAGAGAGGATTGGCAATGTTGATAGACACATACCGGGGAGGTGAAACGAGCCACTATACATATACGCCGAGGCGTCTCGTAAAATTAACGGGCCGCTTCTTGCCCTTCTTCTTCTGCTGCTGCTGTTTCTCCCCGTGCTACAACGTGTGGAAGCTCTACACACATGACTCGTATGCGTGCGCGAGTAGTTAGACGCGTTCGCTTCGCATATACATATCGAGGGAGAGAAACCGGTGGCGGAGCTGGAGGATGAGGTCGAGGGAGGCCGAAAGCAAGAGTCCTAACGTGCGTACATATATACGTGCAATGTCCGAGTCTCGCCGTGTACGTATATACAGAGGCGACAATGAAAAGCCCTCACGGCTCGGGGAAAAGAATCGCGCTGTTTTGCATATATACGCTAGGTATGGCGCGCCTGTGCGAAGATTGATTACGTCTCTCTCACCCGCTCGCACGAGGCACGGAGAAAATTTGATCAATAGCGCATGTGTGTATGAGGGAGAGAGAGAGAGAAGCTATGTATAACAAAGGATACGTAGCATTACACAAGTGTGTACTCGCGGCTTTAATAGCACCACCTTCTTCTACTTTTTAACATAATAATATATTATATAAAAATCAACGAAGATCGAGTCGTTTTTTTTTTTAATTCTTTTGCCAGACGCGCGCGAGGACAAAAGCCCGAGAGCCTTTACCTTGTGTCGCTGCAAGCAGGTCCGAATCAAGACTTCCGCTTGCGTGCGAATAATCGCGAAATGAATGCATACATTATACACACATTCTAGGAGAGTATTGTCACGGCGCTTTGTTGATCGATTATATTGTGCGTAGAGACTGCTAAGAAAAAAATAAGTAAATCCTGCATAGCATTGAATAGCACCACCTCTGCCGCTGCTCTCGCCTTTCTTGCTCAATTCGTATTTACGTATTTTTGCTATACTTACATATTATTCAGCGCGCCGCGTAATCGAATTAAAGATCGCAGCATGTATTCTCCCATGGCCACGGCTTCGCTCTCCTCTTCTTTTTTTATTTTTCGTTAATTCTAAAGCTCGAGTCTCTATACCAGACTAGTTACCAAATTCTTCTCTCTCTCTCTCTCTCTTTTGTCTTTATAATATGTAAACTAGTTAAATTCAATGGGCGCGCGCACATTAAGAAGCGCGAGATATTGTGCGCTTGCAAAGAGCCTCGTGAAGTACCTAAACTTCTTTTTTGACGATGAAAGAGACACGCGATACCGAACAAAAAAAATGGTGTGCGTACCAATTGCGCCTGTTCTTATTTTAATTTGGCCCGATCAAGTGGTACTGATATTATATGAACTTGAATATGAATTTTTTGAGAGGACCTCGACACGTCGTACGATCGGACAAAACTTCAAACTATGCGAGTAGCAGTACTAGATTAGGCAAAGATGCTTATTCAAACTTATCTAATGCTTGCACATGGTTTTTATTTTCTTTCTTTTTTTTTCTACAATTGAAATAAGTAGAAATTCAATTTAGATCGCACGCACGCGAGCATACGCATACATAAACGATTCAGAGTGCGGAAAAAAAATCAAATCGCATAAATAAATCAAAAGTTCGTAAAGTGACTTATATAATAAGCGAGCCGCGCATACATACATACTCATGTTATTTTGAATAAATAAACTTTCCGATATGCTCGCGTATGTATGTATAAGAAGCGAGGGCTTAATGTATTATAATATACATGCAGACGGCGTGCAAAAGCTGTGGAATCGGTGCCTCGAGTTCAGAGAATCATTGGGTCGTCGCTCCTGCACTCTATAACAGACGCGATGTATGTACGTGTCGGCGGCGGCGGCGGCGGTGGTGGTGGTTGTTGTGCACCTTGCGTTTCGTATACATATATAGTCTCGATCGGTATAGGCTGACACTAATGACGAACGCCATGATTATTGCCCATAGACTCGAAGAACCAACTTTGGAAACTCGATCGGCGTGTGTATCGCGCGCGAGCATCGAGCTGCCTATTCAATACTCGACATAGTTCTCTCACGTACACGCCGTATATACACAGGCGCGTAATCGATTTATACGCTTATTATTGCTGCTCGTGGATAATGTACGAGGAATTGTATACGCGCGAAGAGCAAAAATGAAAAAAAAAAGGAACAAGGGGAGAAAAAAAGTAATAGAGGCAAAAGTGTGACGCTCGTTATACATCGCGGCGAGTACCTGAATAAACCGGACCTTCGATTGCTTAATGAATCGCGAATGTGTGTGTGAGCTCGAAGCAAAAAAATCTATACGTATACATATTGCAGGCCAACAGCGATGAGAGAGAAAAAGGCGCTCGCGCGTGCCGATCGAGTAATTGGCGCGCATTGATTCGAGAGAGACCCTTTTATTGTATTATGTACGCGGCTGGCAATAAGTGAGGACGAGAGTGAGTGCAGAGAGAGAGAGGAAAGATACGCATGCCTGCACGCGACGACACCTGCCCTCGCTTGCGCACACGCCTGATCACCGGGCACACGTGTAAAAATGCATCTGCACCGGCCGTGCACGAGTGCAGTGCAGCGCAATGAGTCGATTGGTGGAATAAAAAAAAAAAAAAACTTCCTCTTCGATTAACCTGTTTGCACACGCGTGTGCAGTGCGGTATATCGCTTTGTGCTAGCTGCACTCGTTGCCGTGCTCGCACATGCAGTGCGAGGATACATCGCATGCACGATATGTGCGAGAGGGGCTGAAGAGCTCGCGCGAAAATATCGGCGCTATGGAGCTTTTCACTCGCGCGCCTGCATCGTGAAAATCGAAAGTCGAATCACGGACCGATGAATGTGAATGAGCACACGTATGTAGATACGAGTGCACTGGGGGTGGGAGTCGATTATATCGCTTTATCGCGCCGTTTGATCTACGCGGGCGTTGCACGTAAAAAAGGAGCACTCGAAAATCATTAAAAGTACCTGTACTATAGCGCTACGCAGCGCAATAGTTGATGAATAAATCTGCAATTGCTGAAATCATAAAGGAAACGAGACTTCATTAACGATACATGTGTACTACGTGTGTGTAAGTGCATTTTTTGTAGGTGAGAATAGGTGCAATATCGTGCGTGCATCGGTGTTGGTCGAGGCAGTAGGTTAATCGATCGATCGGCTGCGAATTGCGGTTTCTGCGCCTCAATTTTCTATTAATTTTCCTCCTCATACCACCACCACCCCCACCACCATCAACAACGCCAAAGTATATAGACTATGCACAACACAACACGAAAAAATTGTTTTATTTCGCTTTTCTGCAACGACGTATTGCGGCGCTTACGTATATTGTTTGCGGATGAATATGTTATGATCGTGTAAAGAAATACGAACTTACCGGCTCAACCGGTATAGTGTGCGTAATATACTTGAACAATTTTTTTTTGTATTTAACAAAGCAGACATACATATATGTAACATTGATATCGCACGGATAATATATGTTCGAGAGTCGCGTCGTAATGTATTACACGAATTGAACCAGTATAGAGCCTAGCACATATAATAAACAAAACCACGTATAATAAGCTTTACATGGAAAGAGAACAGAGCATAGAGAGAGAACTGTGGCAAGCCATCAATACAAACCTTTTCGATAAAAGTCGCGAGCGATCGAACATTTTGTATACCACAGTTTATATGTATATTCGCGGGAATCAGACGTCAAGTTTATTTCGACCAACGTATCGATGAATTGAATTATAAATAGAGAAGCGTAAAAACTTCCGAGGTTTGAGTATAAAAAATGCTGTGGCTTGAATTGAAGTGCCAACTTTGCGGATATGATTGTTTATTCGTATAAATAAAACAAAATATGCTGAATGCCGAAAGTTTCGCACCGTCGATGTACCACACTCATCGAATTTCAATCCGACAGTATGCCACTGGAATATTTACAACGTATCTAAATAAGATTTTGTCCTATGCTATACTGTAACAAACATATAGAACGTCAACATAATCGTATTTCTTTTTTCCTTTGCAGATAAGCCAGTTGAGAGATGAGCTGGGCAGGCTGCAGGTGAGCCTGCAACGCATTCAGGAGACCACGTCACAGGCCACGTCGAGGCTCGAGGAGGAGCTCGAGGCGCGCCGCCAACACATCGCCCTGCTCGAGGCCAAGCTCGAGCGACAAAAGGACTACGAGGAGCTGAAGCGCGAGATTCAGGTGCTCAGGTCGGTCGATCTCGCGCAGATCGCCGAGTCCGGCAAGAATCTCGAGCAATTCTTGATCGAGCGAAACAAGGCGCTACAGCAGCAGGCCGCCGACGCTCTCAAGCCACCCAGCACACCCGATGCCTTAGGTGAGTTATCCCAATTTTTCGATTATCAACGACAAAAGTCGAGAAATAACGTAATAATTTACGCGTTTTTTTTCAATTATTACATTTATTATTATCATGGACAAATTAAAAAGAAAAATTAACAATAATATCAAGCTTCATTGCTCTGATCTATTGCTGCTGCTCTGATTTTCGGACCTGGCTCTCTCTCAATCTCAATCTCTCTATATATATCACACTCCGAAGAATGCAATTCGTGTCATGTAACTGACAATGAGACTTGCTATCTCGGGCCAATGATGACCACACTCAATCATTTTTTTTTATACTTTACGTTTAACGATTATAATTTCATCAAAACGTTTGTTTAAATTATTAAATTTTGATACTTATTTTTTTGTTATCAAAAATATCATTCAAAATCGAAGCTTTTATTTTTTATAAATGTTATGTTGTAACCCCGCTTGCGGTAGCATAAGAAATATCTGCTCCGAAAATTTTGTAATCTTAATTTTTTCTCATGCCTCTGCCTTACTTTTATGAATGGCAATTGATATTACTAACCACTGTTCACTTTCACGATTAATCATTAATTTCCATTAACACTATTTTACCGAGCTTTGTTTAATCGTCAACATTTTCTCTTTTACCCTTTTTGTCTATTTAGCCGTTGCTTAGACTGCACTTTTTCTCTCTCACTTTCTATCTGTCTCTCTTTTCGTCTGTCTCGTCTCTTGATATTGGCATCTCAAAGTGCACACACACGAAAAAACGTGCGCCGAATTATTTTTTCGTCGCACTGTGCGTTGGCTGCTCGTTGGTAGCATTGTGTGCTTGTGGTGCGCGCTGCACGCACAGAGTCAGACCACAATCAGTTTAATATTTCGGGTTTATCTTTCTACATTCCCTATATTTTTTTTTGTTATCTCTTTCTTTTTGCTCTCACTTTAACTCTCATCATACACGAATATACATACACGGTCCTCGCCGAAAAAAGAACAAAACAAACAAAACCCAAATCCATGCCTACCAAAAATGTTCCTTTCCGAGCGGCACTACTATACCACTACAATATCCTGCAAAATTTTTGTACAAACCTTTACGCATATGGGCAAATTTTACGAACGATATGCGCAATATTTGCCACGAGGTCCTCCTCTCCCCCCGCCCCATACTCGCTCGTTCGAGGCGCGCCCTCTACTTACGCCCCAGTCGAGCTTGCAACCCATCCTCCCACCTCGGCTCATTGTTTCGGGTGAGTTTATTATGAATCGATTCGAGCGCGCGCGCACATATATACCCGAGTCGAGGGATACGGTAGCCAAGGAAGGTCGCGATACGATTACGAAGCAAAACTCCTTCATGAGCAATATGTGTAGTAACCCTTTCCATACGTGTGTGCTCGAGCTTCGCTCCTAAATATATATATGACTGCACAGACATTGACGTTCTATAGTTCTGTAGCAGCTCTCCGCTCATTCTCGTTCTCTCGCTCTCTCTCATCGTCGAGCGCAGCAGCTCTTTACTTTCCATATCCGGAAACTCCCGAAAACTCTGCCGATTCTGCTGTGCCATGCGTACTCGACCCGGGCCATACATTTCTCTCTCTCTCTCTCGCTCGCTCTCTCTTTCTCTTTCGAGTATACGATCTCTCGCTCACTCATGCTCTGCACATCGCGTGTATACTTGCTCTTCAAAGAGTCAAGGAAAACTTTTTATTTTTATTTTTTTTTGGTCTACTATTGTTCGACCGTGCCACAATTACCATCCAATTGATTGTTGTTCTATGTAAATGTAAATACTAGTACACGGCCCTCTTCTGTGATATTGGTCTTCGGTATAAGTAAATTCGATAAATCCCAGCACACATGCACACACGTATTGAGTTGATACTCCTGATTGTTGAATTTTGCTGCTCTGTGTAATTACTCATGCAATCTATGCAAGCCTTAACAGACACACATATATATAACCGATCCGAATGCGGGGAGGAGAGTGCAGTCCGGGCAGTATATCCGAAAATCTCGCAGTATCTCAGTACTTTCAAAGAAAATGTCAACGAAATGTTTACCGGGTTCTCTTGACGTTCTTCAATGTAATTTTTTTTATTATTTTTTTTTCTTTAAATCTTCTCTGTTGCTCATGTGTCGCGCAAATTGTGCTGGATTGCAGGTGGACTCTCGTCGCCCCTGCAGCGCACCGCGAGCGCTTCGCCCCACGGCTCGGCGGCGGCTCAGGCAGCTGCCCCAGCTTCCCTAGTCAGCTCCCAAGCACCACCGTCACAACCACCACCACCACCACCACCGTCACAAGTACCACCACCACATAGCCGCTCGACTCCCACACCTTCGTGCTCGTCGTCCGTGACCTCGACGACGAGCTCGTCGCTCCTGTTCCCGCCACCCTTGCAGAACGTCGAGACGTTCGGCTCGTTCCTCGGCGAGGAAATCGTGGCCAACTGGAGGCGTACACTCGAGAGATCGATCATCAATCAGCAGCAGCAACAGCAGCAGCAGCAAAGCACTGCTCAAGCTCAGCCAAGTCTAAATCATCAACTTGCATCGCCAACAGATTGCAACGTCGTCAAGTCGAGCACACCCCAGGAGGCCGAGAAAGCGCCGACGCCGCTCTCGGGTCACGAGACACCCACGCTCACGTCTCCGTCGGTGCAACAGCAGCAGCAGCAGCAGCAGACGCCGTCTTCGGTCAGTGACCTGGTGAACGGACCGATCGGCGCGCCACTGCCGACCAAGAGCCCGGCCCAGGCCACGGACTCCGAGTGCCACAGTATTAACAACAACAGCCATCACTTGGCCAACAACAACAACGTGATCGGCGTCGGCTCGGGCGGCGCGACGAGTGGCAGCCTCAACATGCTCGATAGCCTCAAGAGCCCGTTCCGTTTCGACGAGCGAACACATCCGTTCCGCTTCGGCGACGAGTACGGAGTCGCGGGCATGGCCGGCCGCCTCGGCGAGTCCCTCATACCCAAGGGCGACCCGATGGAGGCCCGGCTCCAAGAGATGCTGCGCTACAACATGGACAAGTACGCCTCGCAGAATCTCGACACGCTGCACATAGCCAGACGGGTGCGCGAGCTACTGTCGATTCACAACATTGGCCAGCGCCTCTTTGCCAAGTACGTGCTGGGCTTGTCGCAGGGAACGGTGAGCGAGCTCTTGAGCAAACCCAAGCCGTGGGACAAACTGACGGAGAAGGGACGCGACAGCTATCGCAAGATGCACAGTTGGGCCTGCGACGACAATGCCGTCATGCTGCTGAAATCCCTCATACCCAAGAAAGGTGAGTGCCCGTTCGATCGTCCAGTCATTGTATATTGTCGATCGAATCAACCAGTCTCTGTCTCTCTCTTTTTCTCTCTAGTCTCTCTCTTTCTCTCTCTTGTCTCTCATCTTTCTATCTGAATCTATCTATCTATCTGAATCTCTTGCCACGCGACGACAACTGTCTGCTGCTCTGTACATATTAGATTATAATTATCAATTACAAATTAATACTGCTATATTATCTCTCTTGCCACTCATTATACATTGCCTTATAAGCACTGCTGCTGCCAGCGAAATAATAATAATAATAATAATAATAATAATAATAATTAATAATAACAAAAGTAAGGTTTTTAGTAATTATACATTTACGATATACTAACCGGCGCAATTCAATGATGCATCCATGAATACATGCGTATTTTTTGCTGTCTCAACTTCACTAACTTGACTTTGCTCAAACTCTATCACTCTGACTTTTTTTAATTGATAATACGCTGCAGCGGGGACAATACAAGTTTCAGAGCAACATAATGTAATTGATTATCATCACGTTATAACTAGCCAGATAGCAAGTGTACATGTAGTCAAACGTAAATCTTGTTTTTTCTTATTAACGTACAGCAGCAGATATGTGTGTTGTTTTGTGTATACTTAGTGTTATGTTTGTTGTAAGCCTAAACAAGAAGATGAATATACAAGGTAAAGTCAATTCGTGGGCCTGCGAGGGAACAGCTCTCAATATTTTCGAGAGCTCGAGAATCGGAATATGTCAATTATTATTGTGCGCATCTCGAGCTTGGCACGAGGTTATTTATAATGGAATAGATACAGGAGCGTGTTGTTTTGCTGTTGCGATATGTCTGGCACATCAATTGGACGGGCCCGTATTGGCCTGGCATCGATTGGGTGCCTCATGGCGATGGCGGCGGCGGCTTCGGGTGCTCGTTTGTCAGTCGCTTAGACTCGCGCGCGGAGCTTATGATATTGAAATTGGCAGCTCAGCGCAGGATTAGACTGCGGATGCCGAAGTGTCTATGTACCGACGCGAAGGGATTCCTCGGAGATTCCTACCGACAGCACAACTTCTCTTTCTCTCTCTCACTCTCTATCCGCGTGTGCTATTGCAGATACCGGTATTATACGCGTGGTTTCGATTGGAGACAGCGTGTATTATTCGCGGGAAACGTCAGAATTTTTTTCAAATGCTACGATGTCACTTTTTTCTTCTTTTTCCTTCGATTAGCATTTAGAAATGCTCTTGCACTGGAAACCCTTTTGAGGAACAGCAGCTCAACCAAATTTAGCTGATTACATTTAGCTGTATGAGCCCAATAATATAGTTCTTACAACTAAATGTTTTATCGTTATTACAACTATATAAACGTTTAGCTGTGAGATCGTAATATGTAGCTATATTCATTTGTATACACTGGTTATGTTTACTCACAAACGATATTGACGTTTAGTGATAAAAGATATGGACGATTACGTTAAAAATAAATTAAAAAGCTACGGGCTTGAAAAATATATCGAAGCCTTTGAAGGTATGTGAATTAAATGATATCTATATTTAATTGACCAATATTTAATGATATTTTATTGTATTCTATTTTATCATTATTTATTTAAAGAAAACGAAATAGACGAATTGAGCTTTAAACTCCTCAACGATGAAGTTATAAGGAGTATTTTCACTAAGGGAGGGCCACGATCTATATTTCTAGCCAAATGGAAAGAAGAGTTCGAGGGAAAAAACGATGAAGTGATCTTTTATAGGCATCTTGAAAAATTTTTGATAGAGTGCAAAAGATTTTATCTTCAAAACTATATTTCAGGTGTATCTGGATGGATCATTTCTTTTTAATAAAGACTTGAGTAGTGATTCTGTGGATAGTCAAGCTAATATTCTTCAACCACCTGAAAATTCTAATACAGAAAAAATTCAACCTGAAGTCTACAACTTCGAGAGATTTGACAATCTACAATTGATGCTGCAAATTACTTCCCCAGTGACCAATGTAATTGATGTACTCCAAAAATCGATTCAAGGTATCGCTATTCTGGCCCACTACAAAGACCACCATGACTTGACTTCTGACCAGCGAGGGATTTTAGCAGAAATAATAGTTGGCGAAGAAATGCGTAGCTCAAGTTCATTAAAGTAAGTTCCTTGAAAATACACTGAGAAAAAAAATTCATTGATTCAATGAAATATTTATTTAAATACAATCTATGAAATAATTTCATTGGATTAATCTTTTTTTATATCATCCAACAAAATATTGAATTATTTTTACCAAAGTTTCATTGCTTTTCATTGAATTTTTTTTCTCAGTGTACCGGAGCTCACGTAAAAAATGTTTCATGATGGTTTAGGCATTACGTAAACCTTTAGACGCAGTATTTTATTTTCATCAAAATTCATGTGTTCAAACATCGTATTACTAGTTCCTTACACTCTAAGTATTAAGTTGTCCGTATCATCATCGTCTGTCGATCATGCTCGGCGTCTAAAGGTTAAATTTTTCTTTCAAAAATTTGATTTGTGGATTTGCCAATCCATTTATTTAAGCAGTGCTTGCATAAAATTGTTATAAAATTCTTATTTCTCGTAAAAGTTCTATAAAAAGTTTCAAATAATATAATTATTTTTATTTCTTGTCCCGATTTTCGTAGCATACGTCCGTCCAGGCTAGACGAGCTCTCAAGATTGATTGCTGAAACATTTCCAACCGAGGAAAAGGAAATTTACTATATTCCTTCTACGACTAATAAAGTGTCAAAGAAAACAATTTTTGCCAAAGGAAAATTGCACGACAAACACGCTACTCTTCGTGGTCTACTGCTAGGAAATCATCTTACCGAAAGTATGAAAACCAAAAAGAGGAAATACATTGATGTATCAAGTGAATGCCGAATGATATGCCTTGGATTTCGCGAGTTTTTTTCAAAAGAAGAAGTAACGGAAGCAGAGAAGAAAGTCATGCACGATAAGATAAATTGGCTGAAAATAAATCTGTCCCCGTGGACGACAATTCGGAAATATTGGCAAGATACATTTTCTCAAAGAATGAAGGAGCTTATAGATAGTCCTCTAAGTTTCGATGTCACCTTGGAGTACCCTACACTTCGGCATCCAATTAATGGTGCCGAATTGATAGAAATTGACTTTAACTGTGCATATCCTAATCATAGTAGCTGTTTTGAAGATGAGTATGCTCAAGTTGTAAAAGAAATTGTAGCGTTTGCCAAATCTCGTCCGCGTAAAAGCAAAGAAATGAAAGGCTATTTAGATTTGATTGATAATACTGTAGATCATGGTAATTTATCATTTGATAACAGGAAATACCGAAGGCAGATCAAAGTGAACAGTTTTAAATGTGCTCTCTGACATTTTTTCTGAATTTTTTTTACAGCTACGTAAATGTTTTCTTTTTTTGTTTTCGAATGTTTATTTTCACCTGGCTTCGATACCTCTTCAAGTTATTTTATTTACAATCAACATAACCATAAATAAATTTTACAGATTTAAAAGTTTTGCTGTCCCTGAATTTATTACCACTGCTTCTGTCAAATCCTGCCCAGATTTCAGTGATAAATAACAATTCAAAGCTGTCAACGGAAAAGTCAAGGCCCGCAGAAGTATGGAAACCCTCTAAATCGGAATCACAAAAGGCGTTTATACTTCTGGCCATAGTAATTTAAAAATTCAACATCTTCTATTTTTTTATACATTTTTAATGTATTAGAGAGTTAGTCTAAATAATGATTTTGTGTGAGTACATGTATTTTTTTTTTTTTTTTTAAGGACGAGTCAGAATTGGAAATTGTTCTTGCTGAACGGAAATCAGATCTAGAAAAGTATGGACTACTGCAGCAACCTATGCTGGCTATAGTAGAAAATAATGGACTCATCAAGAAAAGTTTTGTTGTCATTAACGATTTCAAATATGAAATCACCTCACCACTTCGAGCTTTTGATGTAACATACAAGAGTTTTTTCTCACTGCAACTTGTTTATCCAAAAGAATGTTTGATGCCATGGATGGTAATTCAAAAACGGATATATAATATGAAAGCAGAAACAGACAACGAAATACCACCAGGTGTATACGCATTAGTTGCTGACTTGCGCAACACTAAATAGATATCGATAGTATTGGTTTACATTGAATTTAAATTTAGTATAAAAAATGCCGTTGTGTTTCGTTTGTAAAAAAACATTGAGTATAGATCTGTTAGATTCCCATTTAAAAACCCATTATAAAGATGAATTGGTTCCTTATAAATGTGGAGAAAATCTATGCAATCGTTCCTTTCCATTTTTCAAATCTCTTCGCAGCCACTGGCAACTTAAACATAATAACGAACACTCTGTCGTTAACCTCAACCCATCAAATGATTCTACATTCACCAATATCAAAATACCACTGAAACTTGAATCTGATCAGAGAGATCATACTCATAACATAGAAAAAGAAAAGTTCGAAAAAGTTGAATTATTAAAAAATATTATCATGGATAAAACTTTTAACTTTTATAATGATTTAGATCTTTCTCAAAAGCATATGCAAGATTTCGTAATAAATACGAAGGATATACTTAATTATACTTTTGATATCATTAAAAAGGAAGTATCGAATTTGTCTGAAAATACTGGTGTAGATGTTTCCAATTTAAATAATATGATAGATTCTCTGAGCATGGCCTTTGACGATATTGACAGTGATAAAAAGCGTTTAGCATTTCTTACAAAAAAAGGATACTATTTAACCCCAACAAAACATCGATTAGATAACAGACTGCAAGGTATTAAACGCACATCTAGTGGCGTAGAAAAAAAAGGGTCCTCTCACCATGAATCTTATATTTATTTATTTCCGTTGAAAGATACGCTCAAAAAAATTTTTGAGTTACCAGGTGTTTATAATGCTGTCGTAAACTATGTATCATCTCTTGACGAGGAAAAAGACGTAATTTCTAATTTTATTCAAAGTCCGTTGTGGAAAAAAA